GGAAGAGGATTTTGTAAACAAATTAGGGAGGGGTAAGGAAGAGGATTGGTAAATGGGAATGAGGGAGGTTTTTGGCATCTCATCGTTGGATGTAGTGATCTGGTGCGTTTCAATTCCTTGATACTGTAGGCCTGAGAATCCGTTTCCTGAGAAAGGAACTCAGGTAAGACAAATGTAAGTTTCAAGCTTTTAAGACCAGGAGGGTCCATTTCTATGTTTTAAAAAAAAAAATTGTAACCATTATTTCGAGAGAGAAGTTGGGCCAGTTTCAGGGTAGAGGAAGAGAACATGCTTATTAACTCTCTGAGATTTGTGAATAAGAAATCTTTTAAAGAAATTGATCTATTTTTATATCAGGACAGGCTCTAGTCCACAGAAAATTTCTATGAAGGAAAACTACCTAAGCATCTAAAATGCCAACATTAGGCTCTTCTAAAATTAGATTGAGGCCAGGCACAGTAGCTCCCACCTGCAATCCCATCACTTTAGGAAGCCAAGGTGAGAAGATTGCTTGAGCTCAGGAGTTCAAGACCAGCCTCGGCAACACAGCAAGACCTTGACTCTACAAACAGTAAAAAAAAATTAGCAGGGTATAGTGTGCAGCTATAGTCCCAGCTTCTTGGGAGGCTGAGGTGGAAGGATCATAAGAGCCCAGGAGGAGGCTGCGGTGAGTCATAATTGTGCCACTGCACTCTAGCCTGGGAGACAGAGTGGGACTCTGTCATAAATACATACATACATACATACATACATACATATATACATACATAAATGCAATACATACAGTGATAAAACTACAAAGAAAATATAAGGAAGTATTACCATATAGGTCAGAAAGTGGTTATTCTTTCTTGGGGGAAATTTGAGATTGTGTTTGGAAGGTGCCCCTAAAGGGCTTGAGGGTATTTGAGAATGTTCCTTTCATAGGGCTGATGATGTTGGCTGGGGTGTAGTTTTTCCATGGGTTCTTTGACTCCACCACTGAAAATAATTTCGGTACAAGTCTGAGAGAGAGTTAAAAGTACAGTTTATTAGATTGAAAAAAAGAAAAAGACACATTCAAGAGAGAGTGCAGGTATCCTTAAGGGAAAGGACACGGTCTCTTTCTGTTAACGGAGTACTTTATATATTTCCCAAATGATGACTAAGTCACCTATTTTTAAGCTAAGCTTTGATCACAGGTTTCCATTTTTATCGTTTTACTCCTAAGTTTGCCTGTGTCATGACAAACTCTGGAGAAAACAGGAAAAGTTGCTGTTTATTTGTTTATTTATTTTTTGAGTTGGAGTCTCACTCTGTCGCCCAGGCTGGAGTGCAGTGGCATGCTCATGACCTTCACAGCCTTGAACTGTTGGGCTCAGAAGATCCTTCCACCTCAGCCTTCCAAGTAGCTGGAAATATAGGTGCACGCCACCTCGCCTGGCTAACTTTTTTATTTATTGTAGAGACAAGGTCTCACCAAGTTTCCCAGGCTGGTTTTGAACCCTGGGGCTCAGGTAATCATCTTGCCTCCGCCTCTCAGAGTGCTGAGATTACAGGTGTGAGTCACCACACCTGGCTAAATTCCTGTTTAATTAACTTCTCGTTCAGGGCACCATGCCTCAGTGTCTCTAGCAACTGCCTACTGTCCTGTTCCCAGTCTTCGTAGACAGCTGCCCCGTATTCCAAGGTCGAGCCTGAGTTTCAGTCAGTATGTAGTTGTTTAAAAGAGTTATGTCCCAATAAGACAGTGCCCAGATGCTTGATCCATCTGGTTTCCTAATTATCTAAGGAACTCACTATCTATATCTAAGCTATGCTGGCTGTCCTGCCTCAGGGCAGGAGTGTGTGAGGGGGTGATTATATAGAGGTGTTAGTCAATGATGATTCATTTCTTTTCTGCTGTTTTCTGTATTTTAACAATGAAAAAGTTTTGTTGGCTGGGAGTGGTGACTCATGCCTGTAATCCCAGCAGAGGTGAGAGGATTACCTGAGCTCACGGGTTTGAGACCAGCTTGGACAATTTGGCAAGACCTCATCTCTACAATAAATCAAAAAACTTAGCCAGGCATGGTGGTGCATGCCTGTAGTTCCAACTACTTGGAAGGCTGAGGCTGAAGGATCACCTGAGCCCAGCAGGCCGAGGCTGTGGTGGCCGTGAGCATGCCACTGCACTCCAGCCTGGGCGACAGAGTGAGACACCGACTCAAATAAATAAATAAATAAATAAATAAAGTTTTGCTTTCTTTTGTTTTCCTCTTGAAGAGTGTTAGTGAATTTGCTGTCACTAATGAAGCAAGATGGGATACAAGTGGTTTCAGGGTTGCCCCCTCCAGTTGCCTTTAGGGATTGCAGACGTCTCTGAAATTGCTTGGTCTGGTTTAAAAAATAATTGATAGCTATTTCTTACAGCCAATTTACTTTAAAAATGTTTAGTTCATAAGAGAAATGTATGAAAATGAGATACATTCAAACAGTACAATAGAATGTAAACTGGAATATCGCCATTTCTTGTCCCTCATTTTCATTCCCTAATCCCATTGCATAGATGAATTCACCTTTTTTTTTTTTTCAGTTGGAGTCTCACTCCATCACCCAGGCTGGAGTTCAGTGGCACACTCATGGCCACCCCAGCGTTGAACTGCTGGGCTCCAGTGATCCTTCCGCCTCAGCCTTCCAAGTGCCAAAATAACAGGCACGCGCTACCATGCCTGGCTAATTTTTGTTTTTTTTTTTTGTAGAGCTGAGGGCTCGCCACATTGCCCGGGCTGGTCTTGAACCTGCTGGCTCTGGCAGTCCACTTGCCTCGGCCTCCCAAAGTGCTGGATTACAGGCTGAACCACTGAGTCCGGCTTTTTTTTTTTTTTTTAACTCTTATATCGATTTCTTAATTTAGAAATAATCTACTGACTTCCTACTATAAAAATGAGAAATTTATTGCTGTTTACATTATCTCTCCCATCTTCTCCAACTCCTAATTTTTGTTACTTAATTTTATTTCTTCTAGAGGTTTCCTTTATATCTAAATATTACACTTCAAGCTCTGCATCTTGCCCTTTCACAGAGTTGATACGCCCTGGAATGAACTTGAGGGCATTAGTGATCCTACTTACATTTCTACTCACTTTGCTTCTTCCCTCCTACTTTTTGATAATTTATTATTTTTGCATTACCATGGTAAATAATAAATAAAAGCAAAAATAACAAAATACCTCCTTTACTTGGTTTCTTTTTGCCTATCCATCAAGAAAGGTATGTCAGGCTGGGCTCAGTGGCTCAGCCTGGAATCCCAGCATTTTGGGAGGCCGAGACAAGTTTGAGATCAGCCTGGGCAATTTGGTGAGACCTTGTCTCTACAATAAATAAAAAATTAGCCAGGCGTGATAGCGCGTTTCTGTAGTTCCGGCTACTTGGAAGGCTGAGGCGGAAGGATTGCTAGAGCCCAGCAGAGTCGACACTGGGGTGGCCATGAGTATTAACATAACCAGGACCAGGTACGGTGGTGGCTCATGCCTGTAATCCCAGCACTTTGAGAGGCTGAGGCAGGAGGACTGCTTGAGTTCAGAAGTTCAAGACAAGCCTAGACAACAGAAAGAGAGAGCTCATCTTTATAGAAAATAACAAAATCAAACAATTAGCTAAGCGTGGTGGTACACTTCTGTAGTTCCAGCTCTGTGGGAGGCTGGGGTGGGAGAATTGCCAAAAAGTCGAGGCTGCTGAGAGCCATGATCATGCCACTGCACTCCAACTTGGGCGACAGAGTAAGCTCCGACTCAAAAAACTAAAAAATAAACAAACACAACCGGGCAATTTACCAAATACAAGGTAGATAGCTCAAAATATGGAAATGAAAATGTGGTCCAGTCATTTACACAGATTTCGGAAGAGGTGCGTTCACAACAGGGGAGGGAGAAAGTTTTGTGGTTGCGACGTCATCGCTCTTCTAGAGATGAATGTTTAACTCATCGCAGCCGTGGTAGACTAGGCTATTTCAGCTTCCCTTATTAGAGTCCGAGGAGTATAAGCAAATGTATGCCCTCACTCACTCGTTAGAAACACGTTACGAATACATAGCAGGAGTGGAAGCCGTGATAGAGGAGGCAGGTATAGTCAGGGTGCTGGGACTGAATCCTACCGAGATCGGCACTGTGAAGTGGGATAATAATGATCTCTACATCATAGGGCTGTTGCATTATAAAAACGGCAGAGCAGCAGCTGATCTATTATTACCATCATTATTACTTCCCATTACCTGACAAGTCATAATTGGGACACCAAGGAGGAGGCTGGACCAATTGTCTCAAAGTCTTTTCCGTCTAGAATTCTGCGGCAAGGTATGAGACATAAACCTCAGCTCCTGTCAGCGCCTTCTAGGGAACGGTAATCACTAAGGAGCCCAGTACCAGAAACTCAAACCCCTGAGGGCGCGGATGCTGTTATCTTGCGCATGCGCAAGGGTGCCCACTCGCCCCAACTTTCGGTGTGAATGGCCTGTTCCATTCCGGAGAGATGCTGACGGTGAGGGGGAGTGACTTAAAAGCCTGGGCCTGGAAGTGCAAGTGCGTCACCAATAATTTCCAGCCTTTCATTCCATGAATGATAACTTGTGTTCATTATGCTTCTACCTCTTGATGATTGGGACAAGCCTCTGGAAAGAGTGAGTTTGGCGCAACTCCACCGTCCATCCTCCCCCTCTCACCTAGGAACGTTAGGGTTGGCCGGCTTGACGGCCAGGTACGGAAACCCAGAGGGCCCCGCCCACCCCAC